AAAAAAAAACAACATAAACCATCAGAGTTTGGGAAATGATCCGACTCTCACCACACAACCTTTTGGAATGGGTGGGTGGCGGGAGTGGGAACGCGACGGCTTCTCCCAAATAAATCCATCTCCAGCTCGGAGACATCCGTGCCTGCAGCACGTTGAGGAGCGTGGGAAGCTTTGAGGAGCTTTGCCAGGATGTTTGAAGGGCAAGGTGGCCTTTTCCATGACCCTCCTCCCTTCCTTGGCGCTCCCACGCCGGGCAGCTGGGAGGATGACGTGGGAAGCGCGACTGCACCAGATGGCCCCATGATGGATCCATGATCCACGTGGGTGAGGCCTCAGCCCGTGCAGAGGCTTCTTGGTCGACAGCACAGAGCTACAAACCCTCCTTTAGTTCCCAGAATCATGGGCTGGGCTGGGAAGGGCTTTAAAGACCATCTCATTCCAACCCTGCTGTGGGCAGGGGCACCTTCCACCAGAGCAGGTTGCTCCAAGCCCTGTCCAACCTGGCCTTGCTCCTTTAAGTTCTCCTTAAGCCCTGCCCAACCTGGCCTTGTTCCTTTAAGTTGTCCTTAAATAAAGGGTTAGGAGCTTGGCACATGGGGATGGAGCCACCCAGAAGAAGTCCCAACCCTGGGGAGGTGCCGTGGCAACAATCCACCCCCCCACCCCTCACCCTGCCACATTCTCTTCCTGAAACCCAAAATTCCTCCTGACTTCCAAAGTACAAAAATACAACCACGACCTCTCTCTGAAGGGTATTTTATACCCACCAAGATCATTTGAGCCCTGAAGACCAGACAGAGCTCTTTAAGCCTTCAGGAAAAATAACACCCGAGGCAGGAAGGGGCCGGAGAGGAAATTTTGCCGACAGATCCGAGCGTGGATTCGGAGCCTCCCGGCATTCCCAGTACAATTAGCAAGATGCATGGATGCATCAGCCTGGAGTTGGAGTGCTGACAGCACAGCGTGAGGGTATTAGCAACGTGTGCAAGATCCAATAGCAGCAGAAATTTAGTAGTTTAATAATCTGGAGGAGTTATCTGCCCAGAATTTTAAATCTCCTGCCAGGAGGAGAAAAAAAAAAAACAACAAACCACCAACCCAAGGCTCTCAGCTATTAATCTACTCAGGGAATATTTAGGCCAATCCACCTCTACTGATTAAAAAAAAAAAAAAAAAGCCAGACAACAAATGGTAAGTCTTTCCCTTTTCTTCCAAAGAAGCTGAATGTGCAGCTGGGGCTGGATTTGCTGAGCCAACCTGGGGGTTCATTTAAAAAACAAACCAAGAAAAAACCACCACCCCCCAAAAAAAGCACTAAAAATGGTCAAACCATTCTAATTTTACCCCGTTTCACTGGGAGATTTCTAAGGGGTGGATGCACAAGCTGGTGCTGCGACCCCTTGATGGGGTCACCACGAGTCGTTGACACCCATGGGGTCCCCTCTCCTGAAAAAGGGGGGTCCCAGGGGGAGCTGCTGAAGGATTCAGCTGCGCCAGCAGCTCTCTGGCAGTGGGGTCATCTTCTACCTCACAGACAAAGCCCAGGAGATGCTAAAGGAGGTCACAGCTTTTGCTTTAATGGCTGAGGGCCGGGTTTGGTGGCTCCTCACACCGAGCGGGCGACACAAACCGGTCCCTGCTCAGACCAAAGCTCCCCCCAACCCCTGAAGAGCAAAAAAAAATGATTAAAAACCACGACTAAATCAGGGTTTTCCCCTTGTTTCGCTGAGGAGGGAGGAGCTGGGACATGGAAGAATCCAGAGCTGGGAGATGGAGGAGTCTTTTTCCAAGAGGATCCGTCCCCCGGGGTGGGGGAATCCTGGCAGCCCCAACACCGGCACAGCCCAGCCAGGCCACCGGTGCTTCCAAGGCTTCCCAGACAGCCAGTCCTGGAGCTGGAGGGACACAGGAGAGCCCGGTGAGCCCCTCAGTACATGGCCTCGTTGTCCCCCACGGCGGTGAAGGGGACGCCGCTGTAGGTGCTCTTCTTGCTGCGCTTGCTCTTCTTGCCCCACACCAGCAGCGTGCTGGGGCTCTTGCTGTTCATCAGGCTCTTCCTGCTGTTCTCCTTGTTGCTCTTCAGCATCCCCGAGGACATCCCTGCCACCTTCTTGTCCACCTGCTTGGGAAGGAGGGAGAGGGGAGTGAAAGTCAGAGGAACTCCCGCAGTTCCCGCAGCCGTAATATCGACCTTATAGATGTTTTAGTGCAGCTTTTTAATACCTTTATCTTGCTGGTACCTTTACACCAGATTTCTAAAAATGGCAAATTTCTGTTTGTCATTCCTGGTTAAGAATTTCACCAGTTGTGTCCCCTCCTCAGCCTGGAGGGGGAGAGGTGAAGGGTTTTCCACCGGTAAAAACGTGCGGAGAAAGAGGCACAACACTCGATAAAAACCAGTCAAAGCCACCCAGGAGCCTTGAAACCCTTCCAGAAGGTGGGATGCTGTGCCAGAGGAGATGAGGAAGAGGAAGAGAAGATGAAGAGATGGGTTTTTTGGGACTTCTGGCTCAAATTCAGGGGTGTGGCGAGGGCGGTGCTGTGGGAAGGGCGGTTTTGGAGGTGGGTGGGACGGAGGAGGGAAGGTCCAAATATTGTCATTAGAATCTGAATGTTGTCATTAGAACCCAAATAATGTAATTAGAACCTGAATGTTGCCATTAGAACCTGAATGTTGCCATTAGAACCTGAATGTTGCCATTAGAACGCAAATATTGCCATTAGAACCTGAATATTGTCATTACAACCCAAATATTGCCATTAGAACGCAAATATTGCCATTAAAACCTGAATATTGTCATTAGAACTTGAATATTGTCATTACAACATGAATAATTGCCATTAGAACCTGAATATTGTCATTAGAACTTGAATATTGTCATTACAACATGAATAATTGCCATTAGAACCTGAATATTGTCATTAGAACTTGAATATTGTCCTTAGAACCTCAATATTGTCCTTAGAGCCTGAATATTGTCCTCAGAGCCCAAATATTGTAATTAGAAACCAAATATTGTAATCAGAACTCAAATATTGTCATTAGAACCGAATAGTGTCAATAGAACCCGAATAGTGTCAACAGAACTTGAATATTGTCATTAGAACCTGAATATTGTAACTAGAACCTAAGTATTGTCATTAGAACTTGAATATTGCCATTAGAACTTGAATATTGTAACTAGAACCTGAATATTGTCATTAGAACTTGAATATTGCCATTAGAACTTGAATATTGTAACTAGAACCTGA